GTGTGTGTGTGTGTGTGTGTGTGTGTGTGTGTGTGTGTGTGTGTGTGTGTGTGTGTGTGTGTATATCAATTGATAGAGAGACTAGTTCAGGCAATCAAAAATGAAATTTGTGGTGTGCATTGTGTTCACTTTGACAAATGATCATAATGGTAACACATCACTATCTAAAACCCAAATGTCTCACAAATTACACCTGAATTGAAAATGTGTGTATGGTTTAAAAAAAAAATTGAACCCTTCATGTTGGGATTATATTTCAAAGAACATTTGACTGTAAAGTGTAATGGTTTTAATTTTTCCAGGGGTAAATGAAAAAAAAAATCAGGACTTTTCCAGGAGTAGGGTGAAATGCCAGGATGCATGCAAACCCTGTTAAAAGTTCTTTCCTGGACTGACGGAGTGAGTGAGGGTGGTTGAGTTTCAGGCATTCAGTATTACTAACTTAGTCATTCAGACAGAATAAATTTCAAATACATTTAAGTGTCTGTATATCTTGTAAATAATATTTTCTATTTGCTTCTTTTTTTAATATGGAGAAATAACACTAATCTTTCTAGCACAAAACAGTTGTACCTTTATATCAAATATCCAAATTTTCACTCACTCTCCTAGCTCATTATTGAAGAAGTTTTTGGTTTATCAATATGATTGTTCATATATTTTCTGTTAACAAAACTCCTTATTGTAAGGTGAATCATTATGATGTTAAAATTAAAAAACAAGTTATAAGTGGCAAAATAAAACTTTAAAAGTACGAACAAGAAAGGTACTGTTTGTTCTATTATAAGGATATATAGACATATTCAAATTTTAACACAATCATGATGTATTTCTTCAACCTTACCTTTTCATTTCCAGCTTTTGAATGAGCATGTACCCGTAATGTTGACACTGTGTGTGTAATTTCCTTGAGATCTTGGTTAAAACTATCACACTCTTCTAGGCAAAACCTAAAATGTTTAACGTCTAAATAAACTTATACCAGAAGCATCAAAACTAAAACATCCACAAAATAACCTCTGAAAAAATACTTGGAAGAACTGAAAATGTACAAAGCTTTATATATTAATCATAATGAACTATACAAATATACAGTACTTTCACATTTCTGTTAAAACTAACATTATCATACTTGTTTCTTACTTCATTTAAAACTAAAAGGATACCTAACAATAAATAGATGACCTTCCTAAAGCTTTAACTTTTATGTTTCATTACACTAAAACAGATTAAACACTAATTTCAAGTAACTTCAGAGACTAGTAGCACATATTCCTCAAGTTATCCAACTACAAATTTCAATATCTACCTCCCACACATGAACTTCCAACATTATGCCAAAGAACAACAAAAATGTGTGTTTCGAGTTAAATGATCTTGAGACTTAGGGTTCGTAGGTAGTTTTTATATTACCCAGTTTTCCAAACCAGAATTTATCCTCATGAATTGTGAAACATTTATAAATATACATGCCATATTAATGATACCTTGAAAATGTTTATGTACTTTATATTGTCAAGATACATACAGAAATAGATCCTACAGGAGTGTGGTAATCAAGGCAATTGTTAACTGGCCACAAATGAGGTCAGCTGTTTGGTGACCAAGAGTTCCCACATAACTCAGCTCTGCACAAAACATGAACCCTCGAGTGAATACTACATGAATAAATTTAACCAGGAATATGCAAAATGCAGTCCAAATGAATGATAAAAACAAAAAGTTAAAAACAAGCATTGATCAAATTAATTATTTAAATTTGATCTATTTTAAGTCATACTAAATCATACCACAATTGTAAATTATGCTTATCAGTAAAATGTAAAAGCATTTCTTGTTGAATGTAGTAATTTAGCTTTTAACCAAAAATAGTGTCAGACAAAGCATTTAAGCAGAAGTCTGAAATTTTTAAACAGATTTTTCACTGAAAAAAAAAGAAGGATAACTTAGATTTAGATTTTTTTATTCATTTCTTAGTGGTTATGAGGTCGGTCAAATTGATTAACACTGTTATAAAGTTAGGGTAGAGAAAATCACAGATAAAATATAAAGTTTTACCAAAAAGAAACATTTGAAATGTATTTAGGAGGTTTTAGAAATAACACAAATCAAATCTGAGATTTTTGAGATGAAGAAAAGTATTTTTAATCTTAACATGAAAATCATTTTGCTCACGGTCAATTCAAAACATATACTTGATATATTCATGGACAAATCTTTTTTTAGTTTATTTAAAATACTTAATAAAAAAAGGAATTTTTGTACGTGAAACACTTATAATGTTTACTGAACAACTGCCAAAATTTATGAAGATATACACACTATATTAAACATTAGTAGTATCAAATCTATAAAGACTTTGAATGAGTACAAAGAGGTCATTTGGTTGGTCATATTGATTGAGCCTATATTGAGAGAATTAAAACATAGGTTTGCATACTGGCTGTATATATAAAAATGCAAATTAACACCCCAGAAAGCAGCTTAAACATTTCAAAACCATCACAAACAATGTTTCCATTACTGCTTGCAGGTATTAAATTCATAGTGTTGCAAACACCAATGCATGATTGTCATGCAAACAACATGCAGTAAATGCTAAGAACAGATCAATCACACACTATATTAGATAGGGTATAGTTTAATTGGTTGATACTACATAGAATGCACAAACTACATGGTATAATGCATTGAATGCAGAAGATGGGAACATATATGCAAGCTAGCACTTGTACTGCACTGTGGAAAACACTGGCTCAAAAAGTCTAATGCAAGGTCTGACTAAGTCTGAGAAAATGAGGAACCTAGATATTTCATTAAATTTTTCTATGATAGGTGCAAATTACTACAGAAATCTAACACAACTAAACAAATACATTATTATTTTTTTACTCAGTATTAATCTTATTATTGTGTCAAGAACTTTCTTCGAGCACTACAAACACACAACCAACCAACAACAAAAGTTAACCTTTATATAATAGAAAGTAACATTCTGATAGATGTAATACATTTTTGTTCATTAACTAAGTGTTACTTGAGCATTCAGTACAGTGCAATGTGTGTGAACTTACAGGAAAATAAGTTTCATAACTATTCAGGTATTTAAATGGTTGTCTGAAAGAAAGTAACATTATTTTAGTATTTGTACAGAGTAGAACTACGTGGATTATTAGCTTGTGTAGAAGATGATTTGATTACTACTTACTTTTTCTAGAACAATGTGATGGTCATGATGCTGAACCACAGTGTTTCCCAATTTTATTATTTAAGTTAATTTGAAGCCTAAACCAATTGAGAAAAACTCATAAAGCCAGTCTACTGCACATGCCAGAATGGAATTAGGAAAATAAAGTCAGCATGTGCACCATTCTAAAATAAACTAACTAAAGGTGTGAAAAACTGTTAAAAAAATCCCTTCAGGGTTACAGCCCAAAACAATTTCAGTCAGGTATAAACAGAACTACACAATTTGTTTTGGCTATATTTTCTTATATCTAAAAAAACTTAGCTTCACTGCCTATGGTATCATACTGTTTATCATATAAATTTTACCTACCTTCTTATGAATTAAACAGTATTCAAAGATATTTCAAGTAACTTGTACAACATCTACAAGATTGGGTACTTTGTATACAGTATTATCTGTTCTTCATGAACCTTGCTGTAAATTAAATAGCATTTGAGTTTCTCAAGTAATATGCTTATATAACATCTTTAGAATTTAATGGATTGTTTATGGTGTCATCCTGCTCAACATAAGCTTTCCAATAAATAGATAGTATTTTAACTATCTCCAGATGGGCTCGGTCACATTGACCACCCTCGTAACCACTTTGTACTTTCACCGAGATTTGTCTGTGAATATATCAAACCTTATTTTTGACTAGTCTGAGGGCAAAGGTATTTTCATTTTAAGATTGAAAATATTTTTCTTTGTCTCAAAAATCTCAAATTTCACTTGTGTACCCTCTAAAACCACTTAAATACATATAAAACTTTTTTAAAGTAAAACTTTATAATTTATCTGTTATTACCTTTACCTCAACAATATAGTTGATTCTTCAGCCTATAAACAAATCATCAAAGTATAATGAAAAGTTATAACATCACAAATAAAATGAGCAGCTGTGCCCATTTTTCTTTATTATTAGTTATGAAGTTTCAAAGTACTTCTCTTGAGAGTTTGAACTGCTAAACATTTCACATTTATTTTCTGTGTTTATTTTTACTGTCAACAACTAAAATAGAAAGCTACTGAAAATGAAACAGTAAATCACCGCTTGTGTCAGTAGACTGTTAATGTGAAGCCATAATACAATATAACCTCAAAAGCAACATAGCACACACAAAGAGATACTCAACTCAAACCCTGCTCAGGATGTCTAATGTATTGGATTATATATTTTACAGTGTTTTCTTGGAAAATTCAGAGTAAATACACCTCACTTAGAATCAGTGAAAACATTTATGCCAACAACAGAATGTGGAGTTTATCGGCTTACATATGTATTCTACAGTGTTTAAAACAACAATTCTTCAGAGTAATAAGACTGTAATTTGCATCTGTCAAAGCGTTTATAATATGGATACAATAAACATCACAATTCTTTGAATATTGGTAATCCTTTTAGGGTGTTTTGAATTTAGCAGTATAGATGAACAAAAATGTTATTTGAGCACATGCTTATATAATCCTATTCCCATTTTCAGCACACTTATTCATCAACCAATAAAAATTCAGGTTTCACAGCTACCTATTGCACTTGTTTAGTTTCAGTCTTAGCTGAAGATGACTCCTACCTTGCCAAAATTTATGTGTGTCCCCTAGTCCTACTATTCTCACTGTTAAATATGAGAAAAGATAATGAATCAACACTATCAATTCCCTTTTCAATCTTAAGCACCTCAATCAGATCCCACCTAACTCTTCTTTTTTTTTCAATTTGAGAGATTTCAGCCTCTCCTTGTATGACAACCCCTCCATCCCAGGCACCATT